TGGAAATTCAATTAGTGGTATGAGCCCTTTACATGTGACCAAAATAATTCGCTTACGGTGAAACTAAGTTGAATTTTACTTGCATTTGATAACAATTCAATGAATTTATTTTTTGTGCGTTATTATAATCACTACTGAGTAATAATCAACAATTTCAACACTTCGAAAACAAGTTATTCACTTGTGAGCCGAAGCATGGCCAGATTGCGTTACCGTACCCACGGTACCGTACTTTCTTGTGCTTGTTTTTATTTGAAACTCCTGTCAGAATATACTTTCTGTTACGAAGAAAATTAAAAAAAATAAATGCATTGTAGTTACGCTTATATTCAAAAGATTGTACAGTGTATTGTTTGTTTTGTGCAAGTGATGTGGGAAAAAATGACCACGCCCATTTAGTGATTGCAATATGTACGTAATAGAAACCGCACCCCGAACTTGAGCTGTTGATCCCAATTTTTTATTTGATACATTGTAATATAAACCGCGGTTTATAATAGGATTTTAACGGTACAATTAAAGAACAGAAGATATCATCAGAAAATGAACAATATGTATAGTATCAAAGCAATCAGACTTGCGGTTTTCAACAATATTGGAAAATATCACTTTTTACCAAAAATGACAAAAATATTCACCAAGATTAGAGAATTAAAGATATCATTACAAAATGAACAAATCTGAGAGAGTTCCACATGTAGTACCTATATATGTAATATCAAAGCAATCAGACTTGCGGTTTTCAACAATATTGGAAAATATCACTTTTTACCAAAAATAAAAAAAATATTCACCAAGATTAGAGAATTAAAGATATCATTACAAAATGAATAAATCTGAGAGAGGTCCACATGCAGTACCTATATATGTAATATCAAAGCAATTGCACTTGCGGTTTTTAACAAAAAGTCGAAAATATCACTTTTTACCAAAAATGACAAAAATATTCACCAAAATTAGAGAATTAAAGATACAATTACAAAATAAACAAATCTGAGAGAGGTCCACATGTAGTACCTATATATGTAATATCAAAGCAATTGGACTTGCGGTTTTTAACAAGAAGTTGAAAATATCACTTTTTACCAAAAATGGCAAAAATATTCATTAAAATTAGAGAATTAAAGGTATCATTACAAAATGAACAAATCTGAGAGAGGTCCACATGTAGTACCTATATATGTAATATCAAAGCAATCAGACTTGCGGTTTTCAACAATATTGGAAAATATCACTTTTTACCAAAAATGACAAAAATATTCACCAAGATTAGAGAATTAAAGATATCATTACAAAATGAACAAATCTGAGAGAGTTCCACATGTAGTACCTATATATGTAATATCAAAGCAATCAGACTTGCGGTTTTCAACAATATTGGAAAATATCACTTTTTACCAAAAATAAAAAAAATATTCACCAAGATTAGAGAATTAAAGATATCATTACAAAATGAATAAATCTGAGAGAGGTCC